ATGCCCATGCCTCTTACCAGGTAAGAGCTTTAAATTTATTCTTTCAATGTCATAAAATTTATACAAAATGGGTATGGAGAATATCATTGTTGCACATGTCAAGCCATGGGGACCGCAGAGGGTGTACAGTTTTATGCAGCAGGCCCAGAAGCTGAACCTGACGAGCCCTTGCATAGCTTTTGCTGGACTGGTCATATTAATGGACTGGATCAATGTCACTGCAAATAGCAATGAAAACCAAAATTTCTCCTGTTCTACAGCCTATGTTACATAAACAGCTGTCCAATGCATGAAGAAAAAAACAGATTAATGTCTCACTAGTGCTGCCTATCATGCAAACCCTACAGATTTGAAATGCTCAGACAAGGGTCAAGAAATGCATACTTGGCACAGCCTAAAAGTCTATACCCTGCCCTCAATTTTCACTGACATCAATAGGAATTTCTGCACTTGAGGACAACTCTCAATGTTACTGAAGGCAATAGCTGCTCTCCTATTTATTTCAAAAGGAGTGATCTTCAGGTAAAACTGGATGGAACATCTTAGCCATCTGAGCCAATATCTTCTTGATAAACTTCAATCTTCAGACATCTGTGTAAACTGCAGATCAGGTAAGCTAGCAAATGCTTCTATTCTACCATAGTCCTGAATCTTGGATTCATCCAGGAACCTTTCAGCCACAGATTCACTTTGGGCATCAGTACAGCAATCAACAGGAAATTTGTACAAATCCTTTGGCAAGGTACTGCTTCACTGAGTACATAAATGCTCTTCTCTTCTAGGGTTAGCACAAATGTTCATTATCAAAACTGATAATGTAGCAATTAAACAGCTAGTTAGCAAAATGTTTAAGATGATAGAAAATGAATACAAAACCGCAGGTCAGAAATGTTGCCTCCAGGAAATTAAAAACACCTTTCTTGGCAAACAGCCAAGAGTATAATATTGTTCTTTTATCTCAATGCACATATTACCTTTTCTAGCCATCTCTGGACATACGTGAGCAACAGGAAGTCATCCTCACACGTTAATTTTAACAGAACCAGCAAATTTATCATTGCTCATTTGTTTTGCTTTGCAGAGCTGTGTGGAGAAGGCTTCTTTCTGCCTATTGCACTTCTGCCTCATGCCAGTGCTTCTACTAGTCTTTTTTTCCATAAGTTGTGTAGGCTGTAACTAATTTGACAAAGGAACCTAACGGGGGAAAGCCAACTCAATATACCCATGCAGCTTCTGCACAGCTGGAAACCAGCACGGTGGTGGAGGACCACTTCATAGTGACCCCAGTACATGCCAGAAAGAACCAACCCTCCTCCTCCAAGGTGTCCCCTCAGAGCTAAACCAGAGGCAAGTGTCATTTTATTGCTACAGGACATACCAAGATCGTAAAAATAGTGTGCAACCCTCCTTCAGCAGG